GAGCAGCTAGTACGTCCAAGACCCGGTTCAAACACAAAGGAGCTCAAGGGAAACAGACAACATAAAAGATAACAAAGAAGAAAATTGCATGTGTGTGTGTCTGTGAGCATGGACGCCGTGAAATAAAGCAAATGAGGGGTTGGGGTGGAGCACAATTCAGACACAGCGTCGGGAGCATCTGCTGCTTCCCGAAGAGCCTGTCGCCAGCTGAGACTCGGAGCAGGACCTCCAGCCGGCCCTACAGGGTTGGGACGGAAATTGGAGTCCAGGGCTCTCCGAGAGGGCGTCTTGTAAAACCTGCAAATTTGGGGCTGCAATCCCAAAGTCTACAGAGGCGTAAAAGCTCAATAGAAATAGGCCCACCCTGAATCCAGCCTCTAAAGCAGGGAAATTGCTGGAAAGGACACACGCAGCTGTTGGTGTTTGCAGATAATTAGGAATGCGGCTTGAAGTGTGGACGTCACAACTGTTCCCCAGGCAAAGAGCCTCTAAAATAAGCCTCGCTTCTGGCTGGAGGAGTTGGATAGAAACCTTCCCATTTCCTTCCCCATTCTTTTACATCTGAGTCCCCAAGAAATTCCATTGACGTGGTGGCCGTGGAAGCTTCCGGAACCCAGACGAACCACAGCTCTGAGAGTGAAGGGCCCTCCTCTCCACTTTTTATTTTTTTGTTAATCTTTACCCAAGGATATTTTTCCATTGATTTTTAGAGAGTGGAAGGGAGGGAAGGGGGTGAGAGAGAGGCATCGATTGATTGCCTCCCGCAAGCACCCCCAGCTGGGCCGGGGACCAGGGATGGAACCCGCGGCCCTTCGGTGCCCAGGCCGACATTCCAACCACTGGGCCACACCGGCCAGAGCGCCGCCTCCATTTGCTGGCTCTGCATCCTGGAGCCGAATCCCAATCTTTCTCTCCCTGTCCCCCCTCCACCAGGGCAAGGGCGTGAGAGTGTGTGATAGAGCCGCACGTTTCAGGCCAGGGGTCCATCAAAGAGAACTCAGAAAGTTCAAAAAGCACTGGGTGGATCGCAGACAGGAACGTGATCAAGAAAATGACCCCATAAAACCTGTTTATCTATCCCAGGTCTTACCTGGCCGTGTTTAGTCCTGGATCTCATCGCGGTTAGCACGGCACAGACTTTGAGAACCGAGCTCCCCGAGAGACCCCCGCCTGGGCCCCAGGCACCCCTGGGCTCTCCCTGAAGGGCCCTGCGAAAGCCCAGCACCCTCGCGTGCGGCTCGTGTCCTAAGTACAGAGCTCAGGGAACAGCTGGGAACCTGCAGCTGGCACCAGCCCGTTGCCTGCTAAAAACAAACTGGGCACGTTTTCTGTAGAATATAAGGAACACCTGGAGTCTCACAACGTCAAGTTTTAAAATAAAGCCCCCAAACCAACCTTGCTTGGCGTAAGAGGAGCCGTGACCGTTTCAGCGCCTGCTAGCCAAGAGTGAAAGACCAGGCCCCGTGCCTTACGAAACAGGTGTTGCAGTTACCTTACAAACACTGAGGCAGGTTGCTCTAAAATACTAAATCAAACGGCTGCAATTAGCCTTTTAATAAATATTAAAATGAAAACTGTCAGCAAATAAATAGATGGTGAAGAGAAAAGCGAACTGGAAATGTTAGAAACTGTAGAGCGGGGGAGGCCGTCGGTAACACCTGTGACGTAACAGCCGTCAGCTCACCGGGGGAAGTAATAAGCTCTTTTCCAAGTTGTGCCGAGTGCTCCCTTTACCGTGAGTGGATGAAAATAGCATCTTACACAGTAGCCTCGGCCCGGAGAGAGGCCGGAACGCTTCTGAACACGGTGCAATGTACAAGTTGAATACCTCAGATCTGGAAACTCTGCAATTTCTGGATTTTTTTTTTTTTTTAATGATGCTGAGCATCTATTTTTTTTAATATGTTTTTATCGATTTGAGAGAGAGGGGAAGGGAGAGGGAGGGAGAGAAACATCGATCGGCTGCCTCCTGCACGCCCCCTGCTGGGGATCGAGCCCACAACCCTGGCGTGTGCCCTGACCCGCAGTCGATCTGGCACAGATGACGCCCAACCCACTGAGCCACGCTGGCCAGGGCTGCGATTTGTTTATTGTCACCTTTCTAGGTCAGAGCTTCCGCACGCTGGCTCCCGTTGGAACCTCTGTCTGCCTTTATCACTGTTTCCAGGCCCCTCCGCCTGCGGGGCGCCCCTCTTGCTGTCGGGAAGCAGGAGCTTGCGAGGCCTCTGCCCTCACGCTGCACCCCGACCCCTGTGCTCGGGCCTTGCAGAGTGCCTGCCCCCCCGCCAAGCCCCCGTGGGGCCTGCTTGCTTACTTAGGGGCGATGTCGACCGTCTGTGCCTGGGCGACAAGCTCAGGGCTGACACTGCATTTGCCGACACCGCTGGCGGCCTCCTAGGACGCAGGAGTGAGGTCTGTTACCGTTGAATCTCCTTTTTTTCTCCGTCAGTCCGCTCGCCCAGGGCTGCTTAGTGTTTATTGAGCGGCCACATCGGCAGAACGTCACGTAGAGGTCGCGGGGCTAAGGACATGCTGTGTCTGACCATTTAAAAGGAATCCCAAAGGCTGAGATCAAATGCGGTTTGCAGTTGATTTTGAGCGCGAGTGGTCTCCCACGGCGACCAGCCTCATCCTGGCGTCCGTCAGCCGTGAAGCAGAGCAGTTCCTGTGAGCGGCAGTCATTTTTTCATGGAAGATGCAATTGTTTTTTAAGTTTTTAATGTTTAAATGCTTGTGCTGGGGCAACGTTGGTTATAACACACACGTCTCAGGTGCACAGTCCTATGACCCATCATCAGTATATGGCACCCTGCGCCCACTCCCACCCTCCGGTCTCCCGTCACCGTGTGTTGGACCCCTTCACCCTCCTCAGAGGTTCCCCAGCTGAGAAAACGCGGTGGGCAGGTGTCCTCGTTACCTTACAGGCGGGGCACCTTCACCCGGCTTCAGAGGCTGTGGGCAAGGACGGAGTCAGACGTCCTCCCTGGGAAGAAGCAGCAGCAGCGATGCGCTGGGGCAGGGGTGCTGGCCGACGGGGTGCTGGCCCACGCTGGGGTGCTGATCACCGACGCGGGGGTGCTGGCCGACGCTGGGGTGCCGGCCCACGCTGGGGTGCTGGCCGAGGCTGGGGTGCTGGCCGCCGGCACGTGTGTCTGTCCCGTCGGCGCCCGGCACTCCCTCGGCCTGCAGCATGTGAGGTGTCCCCCTGTCGGTGAGGCTGGAAAGGGCTTCTCCGAGCCCTTGGCTCCAGCAGTTTCAATAGGCGCCGTTAACACCTCTCGCAGCACATCCCACACCCGCGTGTGAGCAGCTCCGTGGGCTGGAGTGTCGCCCCTACGCCAGGGCTGCGGGCCCAGTCCCCTCGGGGCACACCCAGGAATCAGGCAGTGACGCCCAGTGGGGGGAGCGCATCAGTTTCTCTCTCCCTCCCCCTCTCTAAAGTCAGTTAGTGCAAACCCTGATTTTCAAGCTCGGTGACAGGAGAGCGAGCCCAAGGCAGTTCTTCCAGGGGAAAAACCAAACGACACAAAATAAAAATCTCGCTTACTCGGCCCCCGACGCAGCTTTCTCTGCAGTCTTACTGCCCGGTCCTGCACCCTAAGGCCTCGGGGTTCCCTTTGGGGCGCGGGTGAGCACTTCTGAGCGGCGCCTGGTCCCGGGGGGTCACTGTCATTCTGGAAGGACACGCAAAGCGGGGTGTCCTGGAGACCTGTCCCAGCCAGTAGGAAATGCAGCCCAGCGCGGACACAGCAGGTTCCCTCGCGCAGGGAAGGCACTCTCTCCTGCACCTGTAGAGCGCGCCCCCCGCAAGCAGCGGGGTCTCCCACAAAGGGGGGTCTCCCACAAAGGGGGGTCTCCCTCAAACTCCTTACCCAAAGACATGCTTAGAGAGGGGCAGGGAAAGAGAGAGAAATATCAGTGAGAGAGAAACGTGGACGGGTCGCCTCCCGAATGTGCCCTGACCGGGAACGGGACCGTCGGCCTCCCTGTGCCAGGAGGTGCCCAGCCAGCGGTGCCACACGGGCCGGGCAGGCTCGTCCCTGATGCCCACAGTGCCCCTGGGTGGTGCACGCTCCGCCGGAGAGGGGGGAAAGCACAGAGACCCACCCGCGTCCTGGGCAGGCCCCTCGGGCACGGTCAGGGCCATTTCCACGGTCATTTCCTCTGTGATGCCTGAGGGTCACAGCAAAGCCTCGCTGTCACTGTGAGCGCGGGGACCGCTCGGCGCTGGGTGTGCCGGGCCGGGCCTGCGCCCTCCGCTGGGACCGGCCTGTGCCTCGGGGCTGTGGGCCCTGTGGCTCCTTGCTGCCTTCCTCTGGCTGTTCCTCCTGAAGTGGGTTGTGTTGAGAAGACTCTTGCGTGAAGACGACCGTGATTGTCCCGTCCGTCAACCTTTGCTGGTCGCTTGTTCCAGGCCGGGCGTGAGGGGTCTTTCAAAGTCATTTCCTTCCCGCTCTATAACCCCGTTAGGAGGTGGACGCGACTCTTCCACCCATTTTACAGACGAGAGAGTGGAGGCTCCCGTAGGTCCCGCTGCCTGGTGAAGCCTGGACTTGCTCTGAAATGCATCCAGCTGCCTGCGGGCCCCTCGTGCCACGTGCTTGTGACAGTTGAGGGGTACGGAGCGTTTATAGGCTGAGCGACAGCCTCGACTCGCGTGTGCTGAGTGTTTGCGGTGCTGAGCCAGGCGCTGCGTCCAGCACCGAGAGCAAGGACGGGCCCTGGCCAGTGCGCACGGCGGTCAGAGCCTCAGCCTGCGCACCGAGGGCCCCGGGTTCGATTCCGGCGGGGAGGCCTGTGGGAGGCAGCCAGCGGATGTGTCTCTCCCGCGTCGGTGTTTCTCTCTCCCTCCCTCTCACACTCTCTGTAAAACAAAAAAGGAAAAAGAAAAGACGTGGGGAGGGCAGGCCGCGCGCACAGGAGAGCCGCAGCTCTGGGGACGAAGCCAAGTCCCCGACACCCCACTAACAGCACCACCCTGCCCCGTTGCTCTGTTTCAGGAATACCAAATTGATATATTTTTTGCCCAGACCTGGACGGACAGTCGCCTCCGGTTCAACAGCACAATGAAGATCCTGACGCTGAACAGCAACATGGTGGGGCTCATCTGGATCCCCGACACCATCTTCCGCAACTCCAAGACGGCCGAGGCGCACTGGATCACCACGCCCAACCAGCTGCTGCGCATCTGGAACGACGGCAAGATCCTCTACACGCTCAGGTGAGCGCCGGGCCCCGGCTGACCGTCGTGGGGGCGGGCCTCTGCCTGCTCCCCTGGCCTGTCCTCCTGGTCGCCGCACTGGCCGGACGCCACGTGCGCACAAATAAAGGCGCCCGGGGCATAAACTCGCTTCCTCCTCAGCATCCATTTCTGCTGGAAGCGGGCCGTGGGAATTATCCTTAATCTATTTAACCCACGGGCCCACTGAGCTACGAAAATGAAGATGTCTTGGCGCACTAATTAACAAATGTAATTATAGCAAATTAACCAACCCAGACCACAGGGGGAAGCCCAGCCTAGAGGGCGTTCCCCACGCGTCCCCCTGGAGACGAGGCTGCCCTGCCAGGCGCGCTCCTCCCGGAACCTGGCCAGGGAGGGAAGCTGGGCCTTGAAGACGTGAGCTGAGCACCCACATCCCCAAGGGGAACTGGGGTGTTTTCCCCCTGGGGTGGCGTCTGATCAGACGCGGGCTGCTCCATGCCACAGCGGTGCCTTCCTGCTCACCGGGCGTGGCGACCCGCACGGGACCTTAGGGGCACGGCCCTCCTGAGCGCCCGGCCTCTCCCTGCTCTCGCACCTGCTCTGGCCACCCCTCCCCTCTGCCCCGGTGCCTCGCCTTCCCCATCGTGTGCCTCCCTTTCCACTTACCTGCAGGCTTAGCTCGTTCCTTCCCACGACTTTATTTTCTTTTATTTTTTGTTAACCCTTTTTTATTTTTTTGTTAATTCATTTTTTTTTTTTTTTTTTTTTTTAACCCTTTTTTTTTTTTTTTTTAATTTTTTTTTTTTTTTTTTTTTTAGATAGAGTGGAAAGGAGAGAGGGAGGGGGACAGGGAGAGAGCGAGATCTGTTGGTTGCCTCCTGCAGGCACCGCCACCGGCCAGGGATCGAACCTGTGACCCAGGCTGGGAATCGAACTCATGACCCTCCGGCAT